CTCTTTGAGTGTGACCATCCAACCAATTCTTTGCCCACCGAGTGGTCCATCCATCAAGTCTATGTCTCTCCAGTTTAGACACAAGGATGTTGTGCGGGACAGCTACAATCTATATGTGTATATATCTATAATGTATAATCTGTACAGCTTTTTTTCTTGTTTTTCTCTTTTATCTCTCTGTTCAGAGATGCGTATGCCATGAGAGATTCTATTAATTTTTTAAAGTATTTATAGCCAATTTCATTACTTCATCCTTTATTTTAGCCTTTTAAGGTCTTCAGCAGGTTTGCTCGCTGCTTTCATTTCTGAGGTGTAGTCTGTGTGTCATTTTGATAGCCTTTTTGTCTTACGAGGTCTGTGGCTGTTAGGAATTAGTGACTCTGGCAGTTGTCCCTGAAGGTGCCTTGGTGTCGCAGTGCTGGGCTGTTAGTCTTGCTGGGGGCATTCTCAACTCCGCATTCTGTACATGAGCTTTCTGTCACATTTACATGGTATGATACTTTTTGGATCAGAGCCTTCCGTAGCAGTCTCCTGCATGTCCGGTGAGGCTGTGTCTGGTAGATTTAGTTCTCTCTGAACAATGAATGTTATACAAAATGGAACAGGTCAAACAGATAATACTGAAGGACGCAGGGCAATTACTAGCCTTGTGGCTTGTACATTTTCTGGGGATTCAGGAGAAACAACCTTCAGGTTGTTGCTCCAGAGTCAAAGTTCCAAGGAATTGCATCTCTAATTCTCTACCATCATGTATTTTTAATGTAAGTTCTTTGGTTTTGACGTCTTATAGTCCAGCCAGAATTCATAGGCTCCTTTCAGAGCTCTCACAGTATTAATGAGGGAAGTTGAGTCCTTTGTCCTGAGGTTGGCATCGTGATGGTCTTGCCTGACTTTGAGTTCTGCAAGCTTCTGGTGGGGGAGGAAGGTGGTGTTTGTGGTGGGTCCGTGCGTGTGTGCTGAGGAGGGCAGAGGGGACTTCTCCGTGGCAGGCAGCAAGGAGCTGCGTGGGGTCGCTGACAGCTCTGGGTAACTGCAGTCTCTGTGCTGGGAAAGATGCTTGTCTCAGCCTCTCACGCAGAAAACCTGGTCTCTTCGTTTTCTCTCCCGTTGTATCCCCTGACGATCCTGCCTGGCGTTGCCCCTCTCCAGACGCCTGCAGCCCTTCGGCCTGCTCACCTGGCAGGCAGGGAGACCCGCTTTGTAAGTGCCTGTTGGTGTGCAGTGTGCGCTGCTGCTCCGTCCTGCTCTCACCCGGCACCGCTGCTCTTCGCCCCTTCCTCCGGCTCCGCGTTCCCCGGCTCTTGGGCTTGGTGCGCACTGAGGACTTGCTGGGGAGAGCAGCACCCGGGGCGGCAGGCTGAGGCACGAGAGGCTGTTCCCTGCTAGCCACCGCTGAGATGGCATCTGTGGACGCTTCCTGGCAGAGAAGCTGTGGTGCTGATGGCTTTGCTCAAGCTCAGTAGCAAGTGCAGAGGGCAGGGGATGTAAACAAGGGCCAGGACCAGCTCAGTAGCAAGTGCAGAGGGCAGGGGATGTAAACAAGGGCCAGGACCAGCTGAGCTGGAGCGGAGACGGGGAGGGTGGGCATCAGTGCCCGGAGGTGTGCAGAGAGTTGCAAGTGCCTTCTCATGTAGCAGAGGAACGGGGAGAAGCTCTTGCGAGTGGGCTCTGGACTGTTCCCCACATGAAGAAGGAGGTATGGTGGGGGTTAGTATGGGACGTGGGGGCTTTTCCCTGTACAGGGGAGGGGTTGGGAGTTTTGTATTTCTTTTTGTGTGAAACAGGGTAAACTAAAGGCTTGGCTTCCTGTATGGACTCCAAATTTACACCTGTATTTCTGTTTTCAGGCTTCCATTAACTTTATTACATCGCAGGATGACAGCAAATCAGTAAGTACATCCGCCATGGGACCTCATTGTAGCGTTCCTATGCATTCTCCAGCACGTAGAGCTTGCCTCTTTTTTGTGCATGTGCTCACTTCCAGCCCTGCAGGTCTCACTGTTGGCTCTTATTCTGTCATCTTCAGTCCTCCACTATACCTTGAGTTTGTACAAATGCACTAAGTCTTAAATATTGTCAGTTTGAAAACTTAATGCAAGTGTTTTTGCAGCTTTTATTCCTGTTTACCCTTGCAGTTTTCACTCATGTGGTTTTTGCTAGCTTACTGAATTCCTGCTTTGACTGTCTTAGTATTAGATGTTGTGTTCACTTCCACACAGCATCCAACAGCAATGACACCTAGGTCAAATCTCAGACTATTGTCTCTTCTCTTATGTATGCATTTCTCATCGGAGCCCTAGCTGAGTCTCAGTTCGTTTTCATCCCCAGCTTTTGCCAGTTCCTGTTCCTGGCTGATGTTTCCCTACTGCATCTTCCATTTATAATGCTTACATTCTCCAAGCTTTGACATATTCATGCCATACCCCTCTGACCCGTGCAGCTGCTGCTTGTATGGCAGATTCTTCCTTGTGTCCTGGCCTTCTCTGTAACCCACTGGTTCTGTTGTGACCCTGACTTGTCTGAATCTCAAAATACTTGCACCAGAGGCATTGTTTGGTGTTTGCTTCACTAGCTCTCCCCCCAGTCTGGTAGCTGGAGTCAGCGGCACAGCTGAGGAAATGCGCTCAAGTGCATGGATTTGTCTTATTCACTTGCATGGCAGAGACATCTTGCTGCCCTAACTGCTCATTTCTCTTCTCTCTGTCTCTCCCCTGCCTCTTCCTCTGCCTTTCCCCCTGTTGTGTGGTATTGACACAAGCAGACCAAGCCAGGCGTCATTCAGCCTCTTGCCCGAGTGCGACAAAATGCTGCCTCACATAATTCGGAGGACGGGGACAGCCCCAATCCCTTCCAGCAACCTCAGCTGTCCTTCAATATCCAGAACTCTGTAAGTGGCCTGCAGTTCTTTCTTGCTAAGCTATGCCTATCTGCCCTAGGTTCCTATAGTGCCCCTTTTTCTGGTGGGTAGGCTGGACACACCCTCCCAGTGGTGATTTTGTAGTTTAAAGATCACATGCCTTCGTTAAGGCTGGTCTTGTTTATGCATCAGTGTGGATGCCCTGGGTAAGAACCCATATTCTTCACAAGTAGCGTCACAGTCAGTGCATCCCATTCATTTTTCTAACATAGATGAGCCTCACCAGCTTGCCTTGTGTCTTCACTTACCCACTCAAGAAGTTAGCGTTGTTGAAACTGTATTGTGGCTGAAATCCCCAGAGCAGTTACAGTTTTAGATCCTTATTTATGAGGCATTGTGTTCTGTTGAGCCATAAATCTTTCAGAACCCTTGACTGTCAGTGTCTTGCATCTTGGAGCAAAAGCCAATACCATCTTGCTGACAATAAATTTTATGATTTACAAAATGATCGTTTTTGAAAGATTCATATTCCCTGAGCTGTATGTTGATGGGCGAGGAGGATTCAGGTGTTTTGGTCTTTGTCATGACGGAAGACTTGTATACCTACAATATAACCCTTCTCTTTTTATTGAAACTTGTATGACATGATACCAAATTAAAGACCTGATTTGCAGGCAAACAGCTATATATAATCCATGTAATTGGCCAAGGTTCGCATATTTTGCAATCTCTTCTGATCTTGATGTGCTGTTCTTTAGCCTATGCAGAAGGGAACGTCATCAAACAACATAATTTAGCCTCAGTCCAGGACAAAGAAGAACCGCAAGCACCTGAAAATGAGTTAGTGCAGCTAGAGGGGTTGAAGGAATGAAGCAACTCAAAGGGATTTGCTTTCTAGTGGAAGAGAAGGTGGTGATGTCATTTCCCATCCACTCCCATGCATTTCTGTGATGCTTTGAGCAGGTCATCCCAACTCCTCTTCCTCCCTGAATGTGATTGGAGGGGTCACGGGGAAGATAGGTGAGGAACAGACCAGCAAAGACAAGTGACAAGCAGTAGGAGGGTCCTCTTGGACCTTATCAGATATGTCTGAGGAAGTGGAATTCTGTGAAGGGAAAATTTGAGATCAAAGGCAGGTCTTCTCCAGATTGTAGATCCTTGAATGGGTTGCCAGTTTGGTTTAGGAGACTGTGACCATTAGCCTTGAAGTGCGTAGAAGTGCACACTGGTCATTTTATAAACAAGTACAATAGCCACTGCAAAAAACCAAATAAAACTGATAGATCCCTTCCCATGAAGAAATGCCAGATAAGGCCAGGGCTTATCTTTAATTTTCTAATAAACTAAATGTGGCTTATTCAGTCCTAAGTAGGGGTCAGAGTCAACTGAAAGCTGTGCTATTCCAGCCCCAAAAGCCCACTGATTCAAGTAGACATGTGCTAGTTGAATTGGGTGGAAATGCTTCAGGACTGTGACAGCAAGATGGCCCCTTGGCCAAGAGATCAGTCACAAAATTCTGGACAAGTTAGTGAGGATCTGTACCACCAGAAGTACCATTCCTCCACCATCCAAGAAATGAAACGGGGCTGTGGTACATGTGCTGCTGTGTACAGCATGTGTACAATACACTGCTCGTGTTTCTGCCCAAGGCTGCAGGAGCTGTCCCTTAAACACTCCACTCTTCAGGCTTTGTAGGCTGAGAGTTGTGCTGTGTTTCCCGTGTGTTCGATTCTTTTTTATAACACCTGCGATTATCTTTACCTTCTGTCTTTGTCCCTGTAGCAAAAGCCACCTTCACCACCCTCTCCTGACGAGATCCCCATCAATGTCAAGCAAGCGTACAAGACCTTTGCAGCAGTGCCCTTGTCACACCCTCTGCTCGAGACACAGGTAACTGGTGCTGACTGGGGAGGACGTTACACAAACAGGGGTACAAGCAGAAGATTGAGGATTGCAGGTGAGCAAGGGGAAGCATGAGAAGAGGAAGGAGGTAGTGATTTGTTTCCTCCAAAGAAAGCTGTTGTGAAGGAGGGACGTGTTGAGGTCCCCTTGGAGGGTGGAATCTCTTCATGTTGTGGACAGTCACTCTGTGACCGTAAACATACAAAGTCCTGAAAGCTCATTGAATGTCATGTCGCTGTTGTTCTCCTAGGATGTGAGGATGCTGTTTTATAACCATGCTGTTCTGGTATAAAGAAACTCTGAACTTCCAGATTCCAGGGCCAGACTAAACCTGTTCTGAGGAATTTTTTTATTAGATTTTGATCTTTAACTTAATTGGAACTATTCCTTCTCCCTTCCATGTATCTGAATCATGGAACCATTCAGGCTAGATGAGGCTTTTGGAGGTCATCTGCCTTGGTCCTCCACGCAAAACAGGGCAACCTTTGAAGTTGTATGAGGTTCCTCAGGCCCAGTCCACTTGAGTTCTGAATTTACAAAAATGGAGATTCTGAGGTCGCTGTGGGCCATCTCTTCCAGTGTACGACCACCTCTGCTGTGACGAGTGGTTTTTGTATATGTTTTATCAGAATTTTTTTTACCACAACTTGTGTCTGTTGCCTCTCATCCTTTTGCTGTGCACCTCTGAGAAGTCTGACCTTGTGCTCTGTAACTGCCCTCTTGGAAGTTGAATACAGGAATTGGATCCCCTTCTCCTGACCCTCCTCTTGTCCAGGCTGAACAAGCACAGCCTTCTGAGCTTGTTTTCAAATGTCATGTCCTGCAGCCCCTAAATCGTTTTGATGGTCTTCCCCTTGACGTGCTGCAGTCTGTTAGTGGCATTTCTTGTACTGGGGAGCCCCAAACTGGGCACTCTGCTCTTTTAAGTGTGGAATAGAGAGGAAGGATTGCTTCCTGCTCCAGCAACCCCGTTTGCGGCCAGCCTTTACTCTGCCAAGGCGTTGTCCTGACCTGTGTTCAGCATCCCACTGAGTCATCACCCATACTGTCTTCCCTGCCTCTCCTTCCTGGAGAGCTTGTATCCATGCATGGCAGCACTTCAGTTATGCGAGATCTCTGGAGCTGTCTGTTTATAGGCACTCATACTATCACTTCGTTTACTAAACTAAAGAAGCAAAACACTGTCCCCTTTGACACATCATGTTTGGAAAGACCCTCTGTTTTCATAGTCATCTTACTGCTTTCCTTGCTGCCTGTTCCTATCTGAATTCTTGCTGGCACATCTTTGATGCAAATGAGATCTTATTTCAAGATTTCATTCCACTGTGGTATTGTTTGGGTTTTTTTCTTTCTTTCTGAATCTCAGTTGACAACACCTTTCCTTACATGTCAATAGATCACACTCACCTTTTTCATAATCATGCTATACTGGGAGCTATGACTATTCTGCGGTGACTTGTGACAGCAACTTTATGTTATATCTAAGCTAATCCTGCCCTCCCACTGTTTACGTTGTCCTGCGTTTGTGCTCATCTGGCCTCATATTGATCTGGCTTGGGAAATTAATACGGGTCACAAGTCTTTCTTTCCTGTTTGTAGGATTGATTTTTGGCCATTTTAGCTTTATAGACTGATGTACTCAAGTTAGATGGGTGTCGATCGAAGCTCAGGGAAGTTGTTAGCTAAGCCCAGGACGAAAAGGAAGTGGAACTTCTCTCTGTTGGCATCTGCAACCCACCAGATGACCTAAGTTCATGAGCCAGATTGTATCTTGTACGCAGATGATTCCTCCAGCTTCGTAGTCTCTAGCTGATGTATCGTGGTTTAAAACGATTACTGACCCTGAAGTAGATCACCTTGTATTTTGCACTATTAAATCAAATTCTTTTCATTATCCTCAAATCAACCTGTCATTCCAGCATGATACTCCAAACTCTTCTGAATTTTGACGGTGCTTGTCCCCATTCAGTGGAGTAGGATGAATGAAATAATTTGCAGAGGCATCAGACAGCTCTGCGTTTCTGTGAATCTGTATTCTGGTGTTTGCCCTTCACAAATTTTATTCTCCCCTTTCTAGTTTCTGAGTCAAATTTGGCAATGAAAACATTAAGCAAGGTTGGTCACAAAACTGATCTTTGAATTCTCGGGCAACTCTATGCAGTTCCTTTGTTTCAATAAGTATTTCTATTATCAAAGGAGGACATTAGATTTATCTTCATCGCACCTGTTCCATTTTAATCTTTTCTATGTATTTTTGTTTTACCTATATTCAGCTGTGAATATTTGTCCTGTTGAAACTGTACAGACTGATAGCTCTGCTGCTCTAATTATTTTTGCCTGCTTCTTGATTTTTAAGAATGTATTAGCTATTTTTGAGACATGAACGGCCACCCAATTAAACAAGTCAATTAAAAATCCATGCTTGTCAGACTTGTCAGAATTGTTGAATAGTGATTATCTTGTCCCTGCAGGTGAGTGTATTGAGCTTTTAGGTTTTCTTCGGTGTTAACCACAGTAATTTCTATTTCCAGACATTTACTTCTTAGCTAGAAGCTTTTTATTTCCTTTTTTTTTTCCCTCCTCCTTCCCTTCTCTGTTATTGTGCTCCTTACTTATACAAAATTAAAGCTTCCTGTTAGTTTTTGGAGTGCGTTTGAATAAAGTTGAAGGTAGTCTACTTCTTCTCTTCTTGTGACTCTTTTTCACTTGTATAATTAAAAAACTTTTGTATTTTCAATAACTTTTTGGCAGTTCTCATTTTACCCTTACTGATTTCTGGTTCACAGATGGATTTTGTGGATCAATTTCTTTTTCTGCCCCCTGTAGTTCTACTCATCCAATATTCTGTTATTTACTCTGGTAAATACAGATTTCTTTCTTTCCTGATGGTGTTTCCACTTCTTAGAAGTAAATTTTTGATAGTTGCATCTTTTGATTTAAAGAAAGTCTAAGCCTCCTCCATGTTAAGCTAAGCCCTCTGCTCCTGTTCTTCACCTATTCCCCATGTTTTTAAGTTTCTGCCCTTTTGAAAGTTGTCACCATCTCTTTCTGTTTAGCCCTCAATTTAATGTAAATCCTTATTATTCACGATTGCTAAGCCTAAAGTGGCATTGTCTTGTGTTAATTCTGGGACTGTTTTGTGAACCAGTCTGTCAGCCGGTGTCCGGGACTGCTGCTGTTTGTGCGGCGTTGGTGACACTTCGCTGGAGGGCAGGTGCAGTGATAGAAAACTCTCTTTTTAGAACATGCCCGTTTCTCTGTATTCTTAGGAATCGCCTGGTCAGACCAGCACAGAGAATCCCAAAACTGCCCCGGAGGTGAGTTCTGGTGGCTGGAGCTGGAGGTAGGATGGGGACTCGCAGAGGATTCAGGCTTTCGGAGATGGAGATTTGGAGACAGGATCACAGCCTGGGCACGCAGGGGAGGGCTGGGGAGGAGGACAAGGGTATGAAGCAGGTGGCTGGGGCGGGCAGGTATGGGGCATGCCTTAGGGGTGACGTGGGGAGGGAGGTTTGGCTCGGTCACCCCGTGGGCAGTGCCGGTGTGGCTCTCGCAGGTGGCCACGCACAGCCCCAGTGGACTTCACAGCCCTGAGCAGAGATCCTTCCGCGAGAGGCAGAAGTATTTCGAAATTGAGGTGAAGCAACAGCAGATGGACAAGCCTCCCAAGCGTGTCTCCTTGGTAGGAGAGGATGACCTGAAGAAAATGAAAGAAGAGGAAGGTATGTTGGAATCTGTGCAAGGAAGTTTGGCCTGTTGAGTGAATCCTTTCTCTGTGGGAGGCATGAGAGAGCACACACACCAGAAAACCAGCACTTGCAAAGGCCAGTGGGTGGTTATTCATAAGGCTTGGTAATAGCTTGAAGTAAGCGAATGTTAACACGTTTTGTGGATGCTCCACTGTTACTGTGTGGACTGGTGGTAATGCTGTGGTGTCAGGGTTTCCTATAGTTGGTAAACACTTCAATAAAATTTTAAAAAGCTGATACAAATGATGATGTTTCTTCGTAAGCTGCCTAGGCTGATATGCAGCAACATGGGATTGCCCATGGCATCCTTACATAGTATCTGACAGCAGAGCTTTTATTGCTCAGTATGCTGCTCTGATTTTGCATGGAGCTTGCAACAGGAGGGAAAATTACTGCTACAGTTTTTGATGTAATTTCCTCCTGCTTGAGAGTTGTTTTAAAAGGTGATGAGGAACAATGTTAAGTAGAAAAAAGGGCTCCTACGGAAATCCTGTCCTGTTTCATAAGAAAATACAGCTGGAATTGGACTCCTGGGTTTGGGAACTGTGACTCTGTTGCTTGCAAAGATTATCATAGAATTTCTTTTGTAAATTGTTGGGGTTTGGGTTTTTTTCATTTTATAAATAGCTATTCTTCTTTCCCACCTTCCCTCCTATATTCCTGTTCAGAGGCTGTTTGTGAATTTGTCCAGAGCATTAGAAACCTTCTCATTTTCACTTAGTAGTTCAGGAACATGAATACATTTTAAGACAAGAATAAGCTCATGAAAGATAGAAAGGAAGGTAAGAAAAAGAAATTACAACTTGTCATTTTGGGTTTCTTCAATACACGGTGGCCAAAAGAATCACAAGTCCAACGTAAGAAGTTATCTGGGTACTTCAGGCTCGCTGTTGGCTGAGAGAGATATAGGAGATGCAAAGATCAAGATATAAAGTATGGAAGGAGAAATTATAGAGTAGCGATGAGTTTCAGGCTTGCATTTCAGCTTGTTTTGAGATTTGCTAAGTAGGGTAGATGAGGAGAAACATCAGCTCTAATCAGGATCCCTCCGAGTGCTAAAACTGAAAAAAAAAAAAAAAACCCAAAACTGAAACATCACACAAAAAACCCAGACCCCTCTGGGGAAGAGAGATCCCACAGTGAAGATTGTCCAGATGGTAAAGTAAGTTTTAGCTTACTCAGGATGAAACATCCCAATCAAATATCTCAAAGTGGTAAGTTACATCCTCTGGATCTTTGCAATTCCAGTGCTTACACAAAGATTTTTGCTGCTTTGGGCTCCCACTGCTAGCAAACTGCAGCACTAGAAATTTCAGCATATAGGCACACCTACTTGCACAAGTGTTCTGTTTGCATTTGTTTATTTAAAAAACATTTAATAAAAGAGGCCAAGCAGCATTTTCACTTTGCAGTTATAGGAGACAGGTCAGAATAGAATAGAATAATTTCAGTTGGAAGGGATCTACGACAATCATCTAGTCCAACTGCCTGACCACTTCAGGGCTGACCAAATGGCTGCAGGGCTGACGAAATGTTAAAGCATATTATTAAGGGCATTGTCCCAATGCCTCTTAAACGCTGACAGGCATGGGGCAGCAACCACCTCTCTGGGAAGCCTGTTCCAGGGTTTGGCCACCCTCTTGGTAAAGAAATGCTTCCTGATGTCAAGTCTGAACCTCCCCTGATGCAGCTTTGAGCCATTCCCAGGTATCTTGTCCCTGGATCTCAGGGAGCAGAGCTCAGCACCTCCCTCTCCACGTCCTCTCCTCAGGAAGCTGCAGAGAGCAATGAGGTTGCCCCTCAGCCTCCTTCTCTCCAAATGAGACAAACCCAGAGTTCTTAAGCCCTTCACCGGGTTTGTTCTCCTTCTCTGGACCCATTTGATTACCTTCACATCCTTCTTAAATGGTGAGGCCCAGAACTGCACACAGCACTGGGGGTGAGGCTGCACCAACGCTGAATACAGCAGGATAATCCCCTCTCTTACCCGGCTGGTGGTATGGGGTTTGATGCCCCCTGGGATGGGGTTTGCCCTCTTGGTGCCAGGGCTCACTGCTGGCTCCTGTGGAGCTGCTGCCAACCAGCACCCCCAGGTCCCTTTCTGCAGGGCTGCTCTCCATCCACTCCTCTCCCAATTTATACTTGTGCCTGGCATTACTCTGTCCCAGGTGCAGAATCTGGCATTTCTGCTTGTTAAATTTTATGCTCTTGATGATTGCCCAGTCCCTCTGCAAGGTCTCCTCTCCCTTGAGACAGTCAACAGCACCTCCCAGTTTGGTATCATCAGCAAACTTGCTAATGGTGCATTCAACTCCTGCATCCAGACTGCTGATAAAAATACTGAACAAAACTGGCCCTAGACTTGAGCCCTGAGGAAACACCATGGGTGACTGGTCGCCTGCAGAATGCCTGCCTGCGGCGGGCAGCCTATCTAGCCTCTTGTCCTGATCCTCCTGTGACCTGTATGTCTGCCTGCCTAATGGTTCCCCCCGTCCACTGCCACGTGTGGAGGCCCATCACTACCACTCCAGGCTTTGGTCCCTCCAGGAGGCGAGTGGGAAGATCAGACTCAACACGAGTATGCAGACTCCTAGGGTTGTCCCCTCTGGGAAGGGAGCAGGAGAGTCTGCACACAACTCCCAGTTTGAGCCTCCTGTGACCTGTATGTCTGCCTGCCTAATGGTTCCCCCCGTCCACTGCCACGTGTGGAGGCCCATCACTACCACTCCAGGCTTTGGTCCCTCCAGGAGGCGAGTGGGAAGATCAGACTCAACACGAGTATGCAGACTCCTAGGGTTGTCCCCTCTGGGAAGGGAGCAGGAGAGTCTGCACACAACTCCCAGTTTGAGGATGGGTAAACTCAGCATGATGAACTGTTGGAAATCTGTTCTATAGAGTGTTCGGGAATGGAAGTTCAGTGAGTAATGAAGGAGGGACTGAGGGAATGGCGTACAGTTTGTTGCATCTCAAGCATTAGTGGAGTGGAGGAGAAACAAAGGCATCCGTGGAGAGGGTGTGGACTTAAACCAGCACAGACTTGCAGGGGTGATGAGCGAAAGGACCTGCCCAGAGGTTGCATCCTTGTCGGGGCTTAGCGAGTGCTTTGTGGTATAAGATGAGTCTGTCTCATTTTGGCAGCTCGAAAACTGCAGCAGAAACGTACCCTTCTATTGGAGGAAGAAGCAGAAGAGGATGAGATGGTAAAACAGGTGCCTGAGATGAGCATGCAGTCCAGTGTCATCATTGAAGGAGTTGAGTACAAGATTGAGAGACTAAATGGAAGGGGCATCCAGGCTCCAGCAACTCGGTAAGACAAGACTGGTAGCTCGGTACCACACACATGTGTCAGAGGTGTCCCAGTATCAATAGTTTTCAAGGAAGAGGGCTGGGCAGTATTTCTTCTTCAGCATGGAAATGGGCAGGTTTTTCCAGCTCTTTCTTTTCAGAAGAACAGCTCCTTCAGCTATGCACTTGGGTATGTAGAGATGTTGATTTTTTGGAAGAGCTAATTCAAGATAAGCCCTGATGCTGAACCTAGGTTTGGGGGTTTTTAGGTTTTTGTTTCCCAGTTCTCTTGGACTTATCCTCCAGGTTGCCTTGATGTTTTTCTAATTTTGGGGCATAGAACTGGGGAATGAGGAAAAAGCTTCTCATAAGACTTCACATAAAAATAAGGTTACACTTAGAATAAAGCTGAAGCTGTCCTTATCTGTCTGTCTTGTCTTTGTCTTTGGTACAGACATTCTTCTCTTCACAAACACTTTTATTGTCAGTCTTACAGTGGCTGAAAACACTTCTTCTGTCATTTTGAATCTCACTTTTCTCCATTGTTTCTGTCCAGTCTCTGTTGAGGAACTTCTCACATAATGAATGCACTGAGACTTTCCACCTCCTGTGCTGAGAGGGCAACTCTAAGGAAGGACAGCAGCCAAATGCAAACCAACTTCTTGGTTTAATGTGAAGGCCTACTTATCCCTCCTGTTTTCATATTGCAATGTCGGAGGTTAGAGAACAATAAGGCTGGAACCATCAGATGACCTTCAGTTACTTATTATTTATGCTTGAACAAAGGCAAGGCAGTGGAATAGACTGAATTTGTGTTTCTTGAAATATTTTTTTTTTGCCATACTAGAACAGAAATTGATATTTAATCAAAATAAACTTCAGCAGTAAAAATAAGGGCTCAGAGTTGTGATAAACTTTCCCACCGCCAAATGAGCCACAGTAACTGTGTGCTTGTTCTTAACCTGTGGAAGACAGGCTTGTGTGACCTCCTTTCATTACAGCTCAAACTGAGTATTGTGTGCATGTGCGCAGCTTGAGAGCGCAGATGGTAACTACAGCTCAGCTGGTCTGAAGTTTGCAGTAGTTCAGATATGAGCATAAGGCCTCAGTGTGTCAAGCAGTTGCAGGTAAGAGTACCTGCATTGAGAATCACTGTTCTGAGATCACTCGGGATTCATCCCTAGCCCAGATGTGCATTCACTTACAACGCAGGAGGGTCATCCTTTGTTAACATTCACACGTATCTGACATCAGCAAAGGAGAAAGCTGGAAGGAGCCAGGCTGCCCATCACGCACTGGCAGCTGGAGAGAGCCAGGCTAGAACTGTGCAAGAACTTGTCAGCAAACAGGATGTATTACGTTTGACGAGTGTGTGTGTGTTCACCTCCAAATGCAGAAAATTAGTTCTGATGTTAGAGAGCGTGAACATTTATGAAATGAACAACGAAATGCTTGCAGCAACGGAGAAGGAGCTGTTGAGCAAATTCATTAGCAGTTGTGGCTACAAACTGAACTAGTTGTTGCTTTCTGGGACTTGGATCTGTTCCGAACCTTTCTTGGGTATGCCAGCCTGTGGTACTGTTAGCTGATGTGCTTGTTTTGCCCTAGGCCCTTTGAGGTCAATGAGAACAGCAGCTCACAGAGGAATTCACTGGAAGAGGGAATCAAGCCTGAACAGAGAACCAACTCTATGTCTGGGTAAGTGGATCAGCAATGTCTTTTGCCTAGGAGCTGCCAGGTGATGGAGCAGATGGCTCCTCCTTTTTAGCAGACATAAGATTTAAAAGGAAGGATTTTGTAGAGAAAGGGAAATTCTGATCACAACCAACTTCTAAAGAGAAACTCACCTCTGTTATCTGTCCTTCCATGTCCTATGGTGATGTCCTTGGATGTGGTACTAAACAGTTGATTGGGGGTGTAAGTCATCACCTTTTGTCTTGAAAACAGGCAGATAAGAGTTGTGGTTTCTGTTTCTCTCTCTGCCCAGGTTGAGTCCATTATATCTCGGAGCAGGGGATCCAGTGGCACCTGTGCGGACAGCCAAAGCTGAACGGCGGCACCAGGAGCGATTGCGAATGCAGAGTCCTGAGCTGCTGAGTGGTCAAGAGAAGGAGCTTTCTCCAGCAGAACGTCGTGCTCTGGAGGCAGAGAAACGAGCAATGTGGAGGGCAGCACGGTGAGACAGAAGAACCTTCACTGTTCTCTTCCCTAGGCTAGTTCAGGACAAGGGTACCTGCTGCATGTCTTTCGGATTACGTGGTATTAAAAACAGGGAATAAACAAACCACCTAAGTCAGGTGTTAAGGGAAGTTATATAGTATATGTTCAAACAGTGCAAAGCATCCGCTGCTTGGCTGAGCTCATCTGCTTCTGACAGCTACATGGGTGAGATGTCTCTTACATTTCAACAGTGCTTGCACAATCATGAAGATAGTGGAGTTTTCTAAAAAAAACATAAACACCTTTATGTGATGGTGAATGTATTCCTTCCCTCTCAGCACACAGCTTCCCACCTCCTTTGTAACACATTAAAAAGATGATATTTATTGAAGCTGCAAAGTGACGTAGTCAAAATGAAAAACGGAAAGAGCATTTCATATATCCAGTGTTGCTAGACTGGAAAATTTGCTGAAGCCAAGAAATTAGCAAGATGAGGGCATTCTTATCCACGTGGGCTGTTTCATCAGCTATGAAAGAGTGATTAAAAATTGTTTTGGAAGGAAGAGAACTTCCTAGCTCAGAACTTAAGACTTGAACCTAGCCCAGGCATTTACTATGTCATAGAATTCCTTTCAAAAATTAGTCAAGCTGCTCCTATAACTAATTATAATTTTCTTCCCATAATGTTCCTGTAGGAGGCATTCAAAGGACAATCTGAAACAGTCTCTTTTGGGGTTTGAATGAGAGCTTTTAGAGGAACAGGGCTGCTAGTGACTCATCCTTGCCAGCCTGCTAGATAAGACGCTGGAGGGACTACCGTGAGTTATGATACTACTTGGCAATTCCAGTGTTTGTGCTTAGGCATGGATGATAATGGTGCTATCATCTTCTGGGGAGGCTCTGAGGATGAAGAAATATGTAGTGGAATCCTCAATGAGAGCTGGCTAATTATCTGGGGCTTTGAGAGTACAAAGCTTCCCATTGTTACTTGATGATGTCACAGATCTGCTTGTGTTTTATTTAGAGCTGGACTAATGTTCATAGTACCAGGGCTTTTGCCCTTCAAGAAAAACTTTCTTGGTATGCTCCAACCCTTTGCTTGGATGAGTCCTTTGCCTGGTCTGTCTCAGCTGGAATTTTTTTTCTGAAGCACTACCTTAGTTTTGCTGCACTGCCCTGTAATGTCAGGAAGCTGAACAGGTCACTGGAAAGCCTGTTTGTTATGTGGAACCTTGATTTGGAAGAGATTGATGTCTCTCATCTTGTAGCATGTTTGTTAGACCTTTGAAGCTGGCCCTGCTTTGAGCAGCTTTTGGATCAGGTAAGCTCCAGAGGTCCTTTCCAACTGGAATTACTCTGTGAGTCTCGACTGAGTAATCTCTCCTTCCGCAGCTCCCCGCTGATGGGGGTGCCTGTGTACAGGCACAGTGGTGAGTCAGGATGTCCACAGTGTGCTCTGGCAGGATTGTTTCTGCCCTGGGCTATTGTTTCATGCTCCAAATACCGTGGGATTCTGGCTGCTGCTGTGGTTCACTGAATGTGCTGCTCTACTTGGCATCTCATGCCTTTCTAGTTGATGCTGCTCCCATGGTTTCTGTGTCACAACTTTTCAGGGAGCATCATTTGCAAATGGAAGTTCTGTATTTTCACATTAAGCCAGGAATAATCCTTTTACAAAAATACGAGTGGAAGACAATTTGTAAACAATGCCTGCCAAAACAGACACATTGCCCTTGTGTTATCAGGCTAGAAGCTGCGTAGGTGTTGTGGAGCGCCATGTGTGCTTACAAACCATCGCTCAGAAGAGGCTGGCTGGGACTGAGATGACCAGATCCAAGTTCTTGCTCTGGCATGTACTTCCTTATGATGTCGGACAGATCACCAAGTCCCTCTGTGCTGCAGATGCACGGAGAGAGGACTGTAATAGCACTTTTCTGTCTCACAGGAAGGCTGTGAGCATTGAATACATTAAAAACTGACTGTCAGTATGATGGTGTGTAAGCACCACAGTGTCGTCAGGAGTACGCATCTTACACAGAGTTGCTGCTCAGTCCTTGCACCTGGAAAAAAAACAACTCCGTTGTTGTATTTGATCCACCAAAACAGAAGTTGTCTGTTGGGCTTCTCCTCCAGAAAATGAACATCACTGTGCTTGCAGAGGCAGTAGAGATTGATCTGTCATCCCTTCCCAATTAGATGCGCATGATTTTCTCTCCCTGATGCCTCCACTTCCCATGCATATTTCCTCCTACGATGGGGCAGGCTTTATGAGGTAATGTCAGCTCTGATTCCTCCTAAGCCTAAGCTTTAACATATCCAAGGAAGACTGTAATAAAAGCTTTGTTTAAGATGGATGTAGAAAGGAGAAACATGACGTCGCCTGCGCAAACCTGTGAAAGCAAAGCCATTACAAGGACATTGCTCGTGTCACAGAATGTATGCTGCTTGCCTCAGGACTCTGCGTTCTTCCATGAACTTGTTGCTGTTGCCAGCAGATAAAGAAATCTGAAAAACGCTGGGGGCAGGGACAGGGCAAGATTATTTTTTTTTTTAAGTCCTCACATGATTTGCTCCCGTAACATTACTGTACATCTGACTATGCTTTTGGGTTAGCTAAGATTTTATTGAAATTGCTTAGGGCACAGTAACAGTTCCATGTTACACAGTACGAGGGTTAGCGAGTGTTGAGTGTAGTGGTTTTGTCCACTACGGGCAGGAGAGAGATCCCTGCTTTCCAAACCTTCAGTCTCTTCTCTTCTAAGCATGTTTTATTCACGGAAAATGAGCTAGTGAAGAGAGAGCCTTTTAGAGGTAAGAATACATGACAAGGTGAAGCTACTTGCAGCTGTCTTGGTTTTCCGTTATCAGATCCAGCGTTACTGTTTTTAAGTTCTGCAGACCAGGTCCTCAGCTCCACTTTGCTTCTGCTACCAAGGTGTAGCTTTTTATTCAGTTCTTGCAGAAGTGCCTGGCTGATTCCTTGAGTAGGGTTATGGCCCTGCTTATTTTGGCATTGGCAGGAATCAGTCAGTCACCATAATGTGCTCCTTTTTTTAAGACAAGGATGGACTGTTCCCTGCTACCGCAGATCTCCCAGGATGATCTGGTCGTCTTAGGATCCTTCTTCCGTAACTGCTAGAGCACACACGGTGACGTGATGGCAGCCAGGGCCCAGGTCTTCTTTCCAGAGGCCCCCAGGCAGCAGTACATGTGCCGTGTGGGAGGGAAGACTGTGTCGCCCTGCACATGGTGCTGCAGCCTCACTAACCTATGTTTTCTTTAAGTGCATGCCACTGATTTTGTTACTTTCTCTCTAATCTTCTGTCTTCTGCTTCTTTCCAGTTCTCTGGTCTGTGTGCTGTCACTCATGACCCCATCAGTTTGCACCTTCTTGGGCTTTCCTTTTCCTCCCTGTGTCATCAGTGCTCTGCCAGGACGTGTGATGTCCCCCCCCTTCCCCCCTCCCCAGCACACCCCCCTGTGCTCTGCTGGGACAAACACGCGGGGACCCATGCTACATAAGTATTCTGGGCACACACAAGCACTGGCATTCGTGCCATAGGAAGAGTGTGATTAAGAAGGTACAGGCACATACCGAGGGGGCAGGTGTCCGCAAGGGCTGTGTGCATCTTGGCAGTTTTCCTACCATGTACATGCTGTTTTATGGATGCGCTCATCTCTTCGGTTGCATGTGTTCCAGGGCCTGTGGCAAAGAGACCTTTCGTAATGTGCTTGTCCGTTTTGCTTCCCCTTTTCTCCTGGTCAAACAAAGGTGCCTGCTAACAGGTGGTCAGATAAACCTATGCAAATGTACACTGAGACTATCAAATGTGTGCACGCACACTCACTCATGGCCTGTACTCCCTCAGTCTGCTCACCTACACACACGCACACTTCTCTGTAACTACCTCCTGGGCCCTTTCCGTGTGTCTGCTGGGTGTTTCCAGTCCTCTCCTAGCCTGTCAGGAGGGCAGTCTCTAGATGCTGAGGCTCTGAAGGCTAACGCTGCTGGGCACGTCACCCCAGATTGCACGCTGGAGGTTCCTGCTGCTTCCGCAGCAGTTGGTGTTGGACAGGATCAGATATAGGAGCCTGTTTTAATCAAGGCTACCCCTATATCAGACCCATATTTCTCCTTGCCAGGGTACGTTCCTGTATCTGTTTCTTTCTTTCCCTGCGCTTGTCCGCTGCGATGTTCATCACCATCATCTCCTCTTCCTCCTCTTCCTCCTCCTCTTCCTCCTCCTCCTCCTCCTCCTCAGATCCTCAGCTCTTGAAGACAGTATTAAACAGTACGAGCAGGATCTGGCCAGGAAGCTGTACCAGTCCCGACAGTGGGCACCTGCTCCCGGGGCCAGGCCAGCTCAGATGCCTAGTCCAATGCAGAGTCACGCCTCAAGAATCCCGGGGTCAGGAAGCCAATCCAGGTGTGCACAGCCCCCTCCCTGCCAGCTGCATGCTCCACAGTCCTGTCTGTGTCCCTCCGTCCTAACGCAGTGCTCCCAGCTGTGGCCTGCTAGGGGTAGGGAGGAGATTTCAGTGGTCGCTGGTGTTCATTTCCCTGAGGTCCCACAGACTACCGGCAGTTGTCTCAAACAGAATGAGGGGGGATGCTGGGTCTGTTTGACCGGGAGAAGGGAGCAGACATTTCCGAGGGCTGAGCCCACTTTTTCTTAGCTATTTCGTAATCCCTGGGTGGCTGAAGAGGGTTAAGATGCAACACACTGAGAGCACAGAGGAGAGTAAAGCCCTGAGAACTGATCCTACTCGTTTGAGCCCCTTCAGTTCCTTTCCCAGCTTGGGTTGCTCTCCCATCGTGTATGGCACCTCTGGAAAGGCCTGCAGCTTCTCAGTGCGTTGATGCTTAGCTCTAGGCTCTGTCTGTTCAACACGTATGATGGCATGTTTCAGGATGACAGCGAACCGAGCTGTTCTCCTGTCCTGCTTTGAAAGTCTGTCTGCCTCAGGGAACCAAGGGTGCTTAATTTCGCCTTTCTGCGCCCAGCCTGTTGACTGTGGTCTGGCTGCTGGGGGCAGAAAGTGGCATTATCTCTTATCAAGAAGGCAATGTCTGATGTCTTTTTCTCCCTCCCTCGTTTCTGAGGCAGGATGAAATCACTTGAACAGGATGCTCTTAAAGCCCAAATGGTTATTGCCAAGTCCAAGGAGGGGAAAAAACGCAGCACATTGGAGCAGCTGGCAGAGTCACCTTCACCTGTTCCTACCCCATCACCAACACCACTGGAAGGTACTGTATAGCTGTCTCTGAGGAGGAAAGTTAATGCTTCTCTGGCTTAACTTTCTTGCAAGCAGACCTGTTGAAAGTAATTTCCTCCTTCAGCCTAGCTTGGAAGGTCCTTTGGGGCATATGACATCTCTCAGCTTAGGGGATGGGCCTGATCTGTAGAAAACGTGAGAGAACATCTGAGGTATGGTTCTAGGGAACCAGAGCAGAAATAAAACAAGCATCATGACTTTTTAGAAAATATAACAGGAAGGAGGCATTTGTTCTGAGAAGGCAGTGTCTTTCCTGAGCATAGTCTTTTATCACACTTAAATGCTGCTAAGTGGGAAGGGGCAGATTCGGGGAAGTGTTGCATATAGTACAGCCATTCACTAAATAGTGCTTTTCCGTCATCTTTTGCAGATTGCAGTCCCAGAAACGTCACTTCACCGGGAAGACTGGTATGACATACTGTGTTTGCTTTTGTTATCTCGCCTATAATCCTGGAATTTCTTGGTTACTCAGCTTGGGTGTGGACTGTGCATCTGGGCCATGGGATCCGTGCTTAAGTATTTAAGCCGAGTCTGGCTGCATGATATACAGAATTGTGAAGAGGGCACAGTAGATGGACCTCTGCCATACCCATTGCTAGAGGCATCCCCCCTTTTTTGCAACTACGGTGTAACATCTGTTTTCTGTTTCCCTGTTTTATTATTTCATCCTTTTCTTGGTTCTTCATCTCTGTGTTCAGAAAGCCTTTCACTTCAGAGACTTTGGCCCCTTCTTTCCTCAACAGCCTAAAGCCGAGAACTTCAGCTGAAGCCAGCATTTTCCTTTTTCTAAGCACTGTATAAATGCAGCAGGACATTGTTGCAGAGAACTGTCAAAATCAGTAAGATGGACAAACGGAAGAGTGGGAGCAGCTGCACAGAGAGGGGACCTGGTTTTGCCCAAGGTCACACAATACAGCCAGCTCTGGATTGAAATCCTGACTGTGCTACAGCCATCAGGAATCTTGCCACAACTATTCCCATGAAAATCGGTTTCCTACCTAACTTGGTGTGCATGTGCATTTTACTGGAGCAGATAATATTTCCTCTGCAGCTTGGAACCCCTGTCCTGACAGCAGAACAGCTAAAAAGACCATGTTCCAGAGATGCCTCATTTTCAGAGGCTGTATCCAGGCACTCTTGGCACTAACTGAGAATGACGCTCTGCTTCTGCTTTTATCTCTGCGTAGATTGCTCAGCTTGCTGCTGGTTTTCCACCCATTTCTCTCCCCTTACTCTCTCTTCTCTGTTTCTTCTCTTTTGCTGTCCCTTCTAGTCCATGTCTGAAAAGAAGTTTGACTACCGGGAATTTGCTGCTATTCCTTCCTCCAAACCTGTTTACGAAATCCAGGTATAAACTGCATGCTGAACCATCTATTAGATTGGTTAGGGCTTGATTTGATGGAAGCACCTGCACATGAAGTGATGACCTTCAGAGCAGAGGTTGAATGATTTGAGGAAGTCCTCTTCAAAGGCCCTGTCTGTGTGGGAGGCAATGACAACCAGCTATCTTGTATAACTGGGGGTTTATTGGAGACTTCAATCAAGTGGAATTGTGAACAAGTTGGTCCAGGTGGTTTTAAAATTAATGACAAAAGCTTTGCAAATATAAAGCCGCTACATCTTCACCTTAATTGACCCTGAAATATTTTTAAGTGAAAGATGAAAACTAAAAGGGGAGAAAAACTATAGAAATGACTGCGAACAAATTGCAAATTGAAGCAAATGTTAACTTCAAACTGGAATGCGTCCAGCATCCTGCCCAAGAAGCAGCTGTGGTGACAATTCTCACATGTTGTAACTCTGCTGTAGATGAACTGTGAAGTAATCATGTGGTAAGAGAACACCAAGTTTCAAGGGTGAGCACCATGGCAAGGTGGTTCTCCTTCTTAAAAGAACCTCATTTTCTTTAAGCTGCTTTGTCACAGGATCACAGAACGGCTGAGGTTGGAATGGTTGACCTCTGGAGGTCATCTTGTCCAACCCCCCTTGCTCAAGCAGGGCCACCTCAAACCAGTTGCTCAGGACTGTGAATCGTCTTTCTCTTATTGTCTGGGTTAGTCATTGATTGTATTTGTGACAGCTGATTTGAGCAGAATACTGTATGTCTGTAATTTTGGGGGTTTTTTAGTTTGTTTGGGTTTTTTTTTAGTTTTATATAAAAGACAATGAAGCAGGTACCTGCAGTTATGTTTGTGTGGTGTGTGGAGAGCTAGCAAGTACTGATATGTTGGGTTTTAACTTGCTGTCATGACCCAAAGATCCCACGTCCAAAGCATCATCCCCAAAGCCAGGCTGACTTTACTGGAGTTGCAGTTTGAGGATTCTCAGGCAGTTATACATCATTTGGTGCATATCCTTGGCTGACTGCTTTCACTGCTGGTATTGCTCAGCTACTTTGGTAGTCGCTCATCTTTTTCTCTCAGAATCCCTTCCCTTTTGGGGTGTGCACCTGTCCAGGTTCTGTACCAGGGGAGTCAGAGGGCTTCCCACTCAAGCCCGAGGCAGCTCTGGACTACCCACGTTTCCCCAAGCCTCTGCTGAGACCACGGTGCAGCACTGGGTCTTCAGGCGGCTGAGAAGATGCCGCCGAAGGAGGCTACACCTCCAAATCATCAGGCAGTTCCTCTGGACCTCTCTCAGCAGTGCAGTAATTAAGAGACTGTATTTCTTTCTGGCCATAGTCGCACAACTACGTCGCCGACTTTGGATCAGTGCAGTGCTCTGTGGCTGGGCTGTGTTCCTCAGCAGTGCATGCCAAAGTCCTCACAGCCCCCTGTGCTGTGCATGAGAGCATGACTTCTACCATTGAGCTGCTTTATTTCTAAAGCACTAAATAGGCTGAGATCACCTCTCCTTCTTTCCTGCCTCCTCCCATTTTGCTGCTTGCACAAAATAAGCAAGTTTATATGGAAATGAGGGCTTCTTGCACTCTCACAGCTGTGAAACTTCCGTAATGCTTTCCATATAAGTGTATAGAGCTGCCATCCTTCAGCTGACAACTAAAGAAAAATTAAGCTACTCCTCACTTGTGCTCTTGAGGCGAGCAAGAAGACCCCTAAAAGATAGATTTTGATCAGTAGTGGCCAGAACTTTCAGATGAGTTTGGCATTATTAAACTTGCTGAAAACTGAGCTCTTCTGAAACCCTACCCTTACATTTTATAGCTCAGAGAATTGTTGAGCTCAGTGTAAGTATTGCGTACGACCCTGGAAAGACTTGTAGAAGTAACAAATGCAGCCACTTTTGAAGTAAACAGGATACCTCAACAGAATAATCTTGACCTTCCTGTCCTTGAAGCACTATATACGGCTAGATTAAATTCTCTATTTCAGCAAAGTAGGGCTTGGGACATTTATTCCTGTCCCCAGGGTAGTGCTGATTTTCAAGCCACCTCAAGTTCATGACCGTGAGCAAAGTTGTGTTCTCACAGTGTTGACACTCTGCTGTGATGAGCTACAGACAGCTCTGGCTGTTGGAATGGTCTTCATTTTGT